TATTCCATATGCATTAAATTCTAGTGTCAATAAATATGTTTTCTATAGATCAAAGTTATACAGTTAACTAATGAAAAACTAACGAAAAATATCCACCAAATCCAAGCAAAAATCAGCCACCATTGTTTGCTATAATGACATGACAGAAAAGTGGAAATATTTCAAGGAATTTTTTTGTTTTGTTTTGAGTTTCTGGCGGAAATAAGTCTTTAAAATTCAGCATTATATAGACACCATCTTTTTTTAAAAAAAAATTATTTATTTATGTATGTATCTTTAGTTTTAGGTGGATACATTAGTTTGTTTTTATGTGGTTCTGAGGATCGAACCCAGTGCCTCATGCATGCTAGGCGAGCACTCTACCACTGAGCCACCACCCCAGCCCTAACACTATCTTTTAAAATAAAATTAAACAATGAAAATCTGTTCCAAGATAGTTAAAGAGGGGTTAGAATACAAACAACAATAAGTGTTGGCAAGGATGTGGCAGAATAGGCACACTCATACATTGCTGGTGGGACTGCAAATTGGTACAGCTAATCTGGAAAGTAGTATGGAGATTCCTTAGAAAACCTGGAATGGAACCACCATTTGACCCAGCTCTCCCACTCCTTGGTATATACCCAAATGACTTAAAATCAGCATATTATAGTAATGCAGCGACATCAATGTTTACATCACAATAGCTAAATTGTGGAACCAACCTAGATGCCCTTCAATAGATGAATGGATAAAGAAACTGTGATATATATACACAATGGAATATTATTCAGCATTAAAAGAATAAAATTATGGCATTTGCAGGTAAATGGATGGAGTTGGAGAATATCATGCTAACCAAAGTAAGCCAATCCCAAAACACCAAAGGCCAAATGTTCTCTCTGAGAACATAATGGGAGTTGGGGGGGGGGGGGGGGGGGGGTGATGGGAAAAATGGAGGAACTGTGAATGGGCAAAGGGGAAGGAGAGGAGGGGAGGAAGCATGGGGGCAGGAAAGATGGTGGAATGAGATAGATATCATTACCCTAGGTACATGTATGACTGTACATATGGTGCCACCCTATATCATATACAACCAGAGAAATGAAAAGATGTGCTGCAATTGTGTACAATGAATCAAAATGCATTCTGCTTTCACATATAATTAAAATAAATAAATAAATAAAATTTAAAGAAAAAAAATCTATCTTTCCTATCTATTAGATCTCCCCATTATTACTCTTCCAATAAGGGTCTAACTCCAGGCTAGGCAAGTACCAGTAGTCAAATGAGGCAAGTTCATGGAGACTGTAAACTACCTGCAGGAGCTTACAGGCTCCTCCCCTGCTCCAACCTGCTACTACAGATCCTTTCTCATCCTATTGATAACTGTAAGGAATGCAGACCTGGTACAAGATACCTCAGTTTTTCCTAACAGAAGTCAAAAAATCAAATCCTGTGAAATCTTCCATTTTTTACTGTTAGCAATTAAAAATCAAACCCAAAACAGTGCAGACTAAGTAACAAGTATATACAAACTGAATTTGACCTTCCAATATGCAACCAATACTAGCTGCAGGGAAAGAATACTGTACAAACAGAAGCATCAGTAAGAATCTTAAACATGTGACTCCTAAAACCCCCAAAAGCCTCCTCACTCCAGGACTAATACTCAGATTTCACAATGAAGACAGGCTCAACACATACTAAAAAAATACCACCAGTAATCTTTCCCACTTGAAGATGAATTTTGGGGTTAATTTTTTTCAATAATACTACTTTAATATACCATTTTAGTATACATTTTAAGGGAAAAAAACAAAAGTTATCACTGACATGACTGGATCAAGAAACATCTAACTTCAATAAATTAGAAACCACATTTTCTATAGATTTTTTTTAAAAGTTAGTATTTTATAAACCAAATATGTTAGGTAAAATGAAGTGTCAATCAGCTAGATCCTTAGGAAGCAACTACTTGAGCTACTTTAGCATCTCTAGGTGAAATATCAGGAACTGGCAGTCCTGATAGGACATTTCAATTAAGCAACATGAAAAAGGAAAAGTAAAGGGGGAAGAAGTGACAACAATATTAACTGGCAAGATATTTCTGTTATGTAATGATTAAAAATGCCAGAGGACCCAAGATTCAATACAATTTTCTTTACTGCTTTAGCTCTACTAAGAAGATTAGATGGCTAAAATGGATAAACTAGCAAGACCTTCTATTTGGAAACACAATCTGCTGGATTTTAAAAAATGCTATGTGGAGTAGCACTCAAAGATTTAATCTTATGGTTTAACTTTAAAAGGATCCTCTCAAAATTTCCAATTTAAGGGAAAAATAAGCTTTATAGAGTTCTCACTTAACTTGGAAAGATAACCCATATATATTATATTGACGACATTTTTAAGCCCTTAAGAACAATGCAATATAATTTTTTTAAGGCAGTCTGACTTCTTCAAAGCTAGATTTCATCACCTGAAAGCTGTGTGACTTTATACAGGTTATTAAACTACTCTGAACTTCACTCCTCTCATCTATAAAACAGGATAACACTAGGCTAATTTAATTCCCATAGTGAGAACTGTAATACATCTTAGATGCACTGTAATTTATTCTCTTTAAATCACCAGTTTAAAACACTTCTTGCAGAGCAGGTACACACACAAAAAAGAGAAGTTAATACTTTCTGAGGTCACCTTTTTCATTCCTATACTTCTATTTTTCTTTGACTAAGCAAAAATCAATTTCCCCAGTTACTTCAATCCCATCAATCCCACTCAACCTTAAATCTTATCAAGTACAGGTAATTCAACTCTCACTGAATTCTAGACTCTGAGAGTTGAGCCTATATCTATTTAGTATTAAAGCCCTAGCACACAGAATAATAAGCATATTGCAGGAGTCTAATAAATACCTGCAGACTGAGTGATGCAGTCTGTGCAGTATTTACTTACTGATCAATAAGATGCCCTCTAATAAAAAGGGCACAGATGTGTATATTTTCAGGCATGATCATTTAATGCTGAAGGTTTAAAGTTAAAATAACAATCAAACTTATGTTGTACTTGGAGGAGGAGGGAAGTATGGGGGATTAACCTTGGGGCACTCTACCACTGAATTCACTCCCAACCTTTTTAAAAAAATCTCATGTGTGGGGGTAGGGGTGGGCAGAGAGAGAGAGACAAGGTCTCACTAAGTTGGTGAGGGTCTCCCTAAACTATGCAGGCTGTCCTGGAACATGTGATCAACCTCTTGCCTCAGCCTTCTAAGGTGCTGGGATTATAGACGTGCACCACCAAACCTGGGTATGTCCTGCTTTCTTTAAAATCTTTCTATATACAGTAAATGAAAGGCAATTTTGCCATACTTAAAATAAATAGTGTTCTTCTTCAATGATAAAGCTTATTCAAAGTAATGAACTTCTCAGTGGCTCCATAACTCTTACTCATCGCTTCAGATATAATTGAATTTCAAATCTACATTTTAAAAAATTCTCAAAATGATATGCAATCTTATCACCAATGACTATCTGCAAATAAGCCCCAAATAATAAAAACCTACTCAAATTTTATCACTCGAAGGCTCCAGAAAACATCAGTATTAAAGTTGTGATTATAAAATCTGTAACAACTTTTTCTCATTACTTTCTCAGCAACACACTGCTATAAATAAACTCTTCACTGCTTACACACTCATTTATGATTTAGTCATTTATATTCCACAACTTAAAAGTAGGTTTCATAAAGTATGATATATTTCACAAAACCAGAAAGCAAACAATGAATGATTAGTTTACCATCCTCTGCAAATCTATAGGAAAATTTTCATTATAAAATAAATTTCTCCCACCCAACAATTTTGTCACTGTGCTATTAGCTTAAACAAGTCTGCTACATACTCAAGTCAACAGCCATTCCAAATTCACAATATTTCTGGATTATCTGGCTTGAGCATGCGGTAGTGATCCAGAACTATTCAGCCTCCTCTAAAGGGCATTAGGTAAAGCTACTACAAAACTGAAATAATTTTATAATAAAGAGTAAAATCCAAAAGGCTTTATTAATAAACACAAAACTAAGGGAGGATATGAAGAGAAATTTAATATTCAGCTTTTAAAAGAAACAGCCATGTTTTTTCCCACTCTAACCACAAACTTTGCCATCCACTAAAGTGGATGAAGCCTATAGTCCTACAAAACTTTCTTTTCCCTTCCATTTCTCCTGTGATAGTAAAAGAAAACTCATACATTAACCAAAACAGTATATTACGTAAAAATAAGCCATTACATGCAGGAAGGCTCTAAAAAATTAAAATCACTACATCATTAAAATACTATCTGAAGGGTGACTTTAAGTACTGAGTGAGGAACTTACAACCAGAGAATAGACACTTGAGGGGCCCATTCTGGGTCTGTACCACACAGGCTACCCCCAAAGGGAAGATGACAGTAATTTAAAATGCACGGATCCACACACTATCTACAGGCTCCTAACTCCTTCCCAATTTGCTGCGGAAAGTATTCCTTTGCTATGGCTACTACCTTTGCCCTCAAAGTTGCCAATGCATCAAAGCAAAAGTGGTTGGAGATGGCAAAATAGAACAGACCTGGGCTAAAAGCACACCTTCATGCCTGTCCTGTGTCCAGGAACAATTTCTCAACGTGGCCCAGGGCTTGCTGCAAAGCCAATGACACGGCCCTTCTTGCAGCAAGCACGCAAAGGAAGTTTCTCAACAGTCCTAGAGGCGACTTCTGGGGATAATTATCAATATACTTCCATTATCGATGCGCTGCTGACAGCATCAGGAGTGCCCACGAACACAAGGAAAGGTTCGGAGGCAAAGTGTCCATTATTTGCCTTTGCCTAGGTCCCTGGTCCTGGGGAAACAGGGGCTGGGGTTACAAGTACGCCTCTGCCCTTCCCACTCCCCGCAGGCAGAAGCCGCCGGCCGGCCCCGATCCCGCAGCCAGGTCCCGCGCCTGCGGACCCCGTGGGTGCCCCGGCCCCCCTCTCACCTGATCTTGTAATTCGGCAGCGTGTGTTTGCGCTTGATGATTTTCTTGAGCTGGTTGACGATGATGGAGGTGAGTTGGGGCATGGGCCGCCCTTCAAACTGGGAGCGCACCTCGAAGTCGATCAGCGGGTCCTCCACGAAGGAGAAGAACCAGTGGGTGAAGGGCACGCGGGTGAGGACGAAGCGCAACCTCCCCACCACTCGGGACAGTTTGACGAACAGGTAGGCGGACTTGCCAAAGACCAGGTCCACGTCGATGGCCAGGTGGAAGCCCCCGCTGTACTCCACCTCCGCCTCGAAGGCCAGCTCCTCCGGGCAGGAGGCGGGCAGCGCCTCCCCCTCGGGGCCATGGGGCTCCCCGGTGGCCGACGCTACCACGGGCCGCACGAGCCGGATGGTCTTGATGAAGGGCACCGTCTCGCCCAGGAACACGTCCCGCAGGCTCAGCCCCTCCAGCAGGCGCCCTGCCGTCTTGGTCTGCAGCAGCTCCTCAAACTCCACCTTGATCTTCTTGGTGACCCAGCGGCGAGTCAGCGCGGTGTCCCGCAGCTCCCGGAACAGGAACAGGATGGTGGCGTTGAGAAAGTAGCAGGTCTCCCGCGTCGGCGGGGCGGGGGTCTCGGAGGCCGGGGTCGCACCGCCCTCGGGCGCCCCGCTGGAGGGCTCCTCAGCCCCGCCGCCGCCATAGAGGTACTCCCGCAGGGGCAGGCCCGGCACCGGCTTGGAGTAGCGGAAGCCGTCGCCTGCGCTGGCCGCCTCGTCCGGCGGCGGCTCGGGCTGTCTGCGGTACAGCAGCAGGAACTGGGTGAGCAGCGTGAGGAAGGAGCCCAGCACGGCCGACGCCAGGATCATGAGCAGCAGCCCCATCCCGCCGCCGCCGCCCGGGCCGCCGGGCCCCCTACTCCCGCGCCCACAGCGCCGCTTTCTTCACGCCACCGCCCCCGCTGCCTCCATCTTGAGGGCATGGGGCGGCGGGGTCGGGGCGAGCGGCTCCCTGGGCCTCGTCCGGGACTTGGGCCCGCGCGCTGCGGCGCCTGAGCCTGCAGCGGCCCGCGCCTCCTCAGACTCTCCGGGGGCGGCCGGTGCGACCGCGGCGGCGGCGGCGGCGGCGGGGCGAGGGCGGGAGGAGGCGGGGACGGCGCCTCCCCCAAGCCTCCGCTCATTGGGCGAGCGGCGAGTGACGTCAAGCGTGCTCGCTCCCGGAAGCGTCGCCTGGCAGTCGGCGTCAGGGCGCGCGGACGCGGGTACTTCACCTCTCGGGCCCCTTTCCAGCCCCGCCCCCACGCCCACATTCCATTCCCCGCCTCGCGCGCCGCGATCCACGTGGATGTCACTTCTGGAGTCGCGGTCAGCATCTGAGAGGATAACTGAGGGCACGGGTTAGAGGCTGCGAGGTCCGGCGGAGATGGCTTGTCCGGTCATTCAGTTATCTTCTAACGCGCCCATCCCCCTCCGCTGGCCACTGGCCCTGCCACCTCTGCAGCAGCGTCGTTCTTCCCGCAGTGTGGTTCTTCCACTTGCTGCCGCACGTCTGTCCCCGCGCCGACAGCTGAGCCGGTGGCGGCTGTGGCTTTCCCTGCAAAGCCCAACTGCAGAAGTCCCGAGCAGGCCACTCGGACACTGCCCAAACTGACTAAAGAAGACCGATCGTCTCAGAGACCGCCATCGCTGGCCAGCAATCAGACCAGCAGTCGCCCTGCGTCCGCGGAGCGTGGGCCCTGGGAAGAAGAGACAAAGGCAAAGGACTAACTTTCCCTCCAAAGGAAGTTTAAATGAGAGCTGACCGGAGGATGACCGAAATGAATCTGCCAGGTGATTGGAAGACGAATTAGTGACTGTCAGGTTCTTGTTGAACCCCTATGTGTATTACCACATTTAGGCCATCTCTGAGGCAGTTAGTGAGAGCCTTCACCCATTTTACAGATGCGAATTGACACAGAGCCTAAGGAAGTGGCATGGGATCACATAGTGGATCCTGGTTTATCCAACATGAAACCCGAAGTTTTTGGTCATCACTCTGTACCATAACACCAAGATTGCTAGAGTTTTAAGAGGGCTGATCTGTTCCCTGGTGCACCAGAAGGGAGAGTTGGGGGAGGGGTGTCAGGGAAAACAGAATTTTGTCCCGGGCAGCATCTCAACCACATGAAGCCAGATTGCTTAGTAAACAGTGTTATTCCTTTGATCTCTAAGTCGTTGCCTCATAAAAGTTTAGGTCCCTCCATCCACGTGGACACCACAACACTTCTAATCCTACAGAAGCCAGATATTCTATACATATTCTATGCAGCTGCCCCTAAGGCACCAGAGGAGCACTCCTCTCTAACCCTTAAAAATCTTCAGGCCAAGAATTCTCTTTGACTCTGGGTGATTCTAGGACAAAATCAGAGTTCTGACCCTACTAGGGCAAGTACAGAACTTTGGAACCAGTCTGATCTCACATATTCATGCCCAAGTCAGAAACCAGAATGACTATTACTAGGAAGATATAAGTCAGGTGTCTGCTCAGAAACAAGGCTCAAAACCTTGCCGAGATTTCTGGAAGGTCAAGCAACTTCTGTTCTCATCATCACCCTCTGCTTCTGGGATGCTGTCTCAGAAATGTACACCTTTTCTCAATTTCTGAAACCTTATGAATAACACTCATGCACTGTTTTAGCCAGCTTCTTTGCTGCTGGGACTAAAAGACCTGACCTGAACAATTTTAAGGGTGGAAAAGTTTATTTAAGGGCTTGTGGTTTCAGAGGTCTCTATCCGTAGACTGCAGGCTCCATTCCTCAGGGCTTGAGATGAGGCAGGACATCATGGCTGAAGAGTGTGGCAGAGAGAACCAGCTCACATGGTGATCAGAAAGCAGAGAGAGACTTCACTCTCCAGACACAAAATATATACCCCATAGCCATGCCCCCAATGGACTAGTTCCTCTAGCCACACCACATCTGCCTCCAGTTACTACTCAGTCAATCCCATCAGGGACCAATTCGCTGATCATGCCAAGACTATAATCCAATCATCTCTCCTTGCATTGTCTCACACATGAGCTTTTGGGGGACACCACATCTAAACCATAACATGCACCATTGTAGTAAATGTTACAGAAACCAGAGGTGAAGTGGGGAGAAGGAATATTTCACATCAGTGACATGAAAACCTCAGACTGTATGTTTACCCTTCCTGGATCTTAATGTACCCTTCACCTACCTACCCACAAGATAAGGTGGTAGTCTTCACGGTCCTCAATCTCACACTCCATCCTGTAGACTCCTTCCCTTCCCCCATCTTCTGCCTTACTCCTTAGAATACTTCTGGGTACCCAAATCTTCTCAATCCATTATTCAGTCATTCAGTTCCTCAGCAACACTTGTCCCATGAAGGAGTTTAGCAAACCTCTGGGGGAAGATAGAAGAAAAATATATTCCCTTGTGTTAAAAATGGTTAACATTTATTGAGCACCAATTCTCACAATTCAGAGAATTAACTTGTACCAGGCACAATGTTAAGCACTTCATAATTTAAAAATACTTACCTATTTTTAAAAATATTTGAAAATCAAAATGTTAATGAGTTTTTATACAGTCAAATGTATTTGATATTTAAATTAGGTGGTAATGAGCATGATAATTTTGGTGTTAACATACACTTTATTTTATGAAATGATGTTGTGTTAACAGAAGCTTAGTGTTTTTAGTGTTATTCGTTGGAAGAATATAAATTCAGCAACCCTTTTTTCTTTTTAAATATTCATGCTGGTTCATAGTAATTCTAAAGACTGAGAGCCACTGGCCTTGGCTCTGAAAATCTATGATTCTGAGTAGGTTTCTAAAGAAAGGAGTTGTACTGCTGACTTTTTAATGTGCTTTAAATGACATCATTGAAATTAAGCTGCCCCAACAACCTTCACAGGAAGTATGCATTTCAAAGACAAAGACAGTTGAATACTGAAAGACAGGTTTTGTCTAGGACTCAAAATCCCACCAACCAGAGAGAGACTTGTGCCTCTAGTGCTGCTAAGCCCTTACTCCTTCCTGGTACCCACCAAATAGGAGAAAGCCAAAGCATATGAGTGTGGGAAGTTTGTGAGTACATGAAAAGCTGATTTGATTAAAACCATATAAAATAATGCAAATGTAGCAACATGGAGGTAGGCATAGAGAAGTTTAGAGTGTTTGCTAACAAATGATCCATCAACTCATCCTATCAACTCTGAGGATATAAATCCAACAACTATTTTCTGAGCATCCAACATGTGTCAGGCTCTAGAGGTGCTGGATGAACAGGATCAAGTTCTTGCCCTCAGGGGTGCCAGGCCCCTGTTTGCTTGCCAGGTGCAAGCAAACACACCAGCATAACTCTGATGATAAGAGATAGTTATTGTACTAGCAGAGCCTTCTGGTTCATGGGGAGAGACAGTTGACTACAAGGAACAGAAACTGCCTCAGGATAACTTAACTGAAATTGGATTCATGTTAAGGATACTGGAATATCTCCAGGAACTCCACTGCAAGATGTTCAGCTGGGGCATCACAGAAACCCTGGAATGGTTTCTCTCTCTCTCTCTCTCCACCTGTCCCCACCCCCACCCAATATCTTGTGCTTACAGCTCTCTGCAGATATGCTGTGTTATTCTATATGGCTCTTGATTTCTGCTCCCCTATGGCCTCAGCATGCAGGCAACTTGGAAGGCACCAACTCTGCACCCAAATCTAGATGGTCCCATGTCCCCTGTATCTAATTGGTTACTCAAATCCAGCCATTTGTGCCCCAGGGCTTGCTGCTTCTGCACTGCTGGAAGGTGAGGCAACTTCCCCAATAAGGGGGATTGAGAAAATGTGATGGGCAATTCTAGTTTGATAGGGGATGATGAGAGAGGAATGCTGGCTTGGGAAGGTGGGAGGCTTCCTAGGGTAAATGGAATTTGCATTAACCTTGGAGGATTAGACAGATGCTCTAATCAGAAGGAGGCCAAAGCTCAGAAATTGGAATTCCAACAGAACCTAGAGAAATAGCAGGATGAATGGAGGAGGATAGCATGAATAGGGTTGGTGCCAAGGGGAGGGAAAGAAGATGGGGGTAAAACATAAACTGAGTTATGGAGGGACTGAGTATCAGGGCAAAAGAGGATTCTATTTTGCAGGCTTTGTAAAGTCTCCAAAGTTTGTTTAAGTAAGAGCATGGCATTTAATACTTTTCCTTCCATCTCCTTTGCCTGCAAAATCTCAACCTTAATGTGATCCAGCTATCTTCCTTTTCCCCTCTGCGTCTGTAAACTTATGGTCTTTATTCTCATGGGGCCTTCATAGCACTCCTAGTTCCCACCTACTCTTTTATCCATTACCCCAGCCAACATCTTCTTCTCTCCCACAACAATGTCATCAAACCTTGACCATCTCAGGCCTCCCACCCTTACCTGCCCCATCAAGCTTAAGAGAGGACCCAGGTCCCCATTAATGAGAAGAAAAAGAAACCCTAAGGCTGGCATGCCCTGGGCTTGCCTGGCCCCAGATCACCTGCAAGAGACACTTGTCTTTTCATCCTCTTCTTCTGTGGCAACAATGTAATGACTAAAAACCAAACACACACACACACACACACACACACACACACACACACACACTAAAAGGAGGAGGAGGAGGAAATAAAGAAAAGCAGACAGACAAAACAGCAAAAACTTGCTTCTGCTGTGGATCCCACTGCCTTCCAGGGTCTATCTCCTCTTCTTTAGCAGATCAGCCACTTTTGATTCTCACAAAATGAAAATGAACATCCTACTTTAAGCCTTCCAACTTGTGCCTTTTTTATCTCTTCATAGTCAAGTCTAGCTGATTCTTTCTGATTACATCCTCCCTTTCCACTCCCTTGAGTCCTCTGTACTCTGACTTCTGCCTGAACAGCTCTTCCTCACTCCATGAACCCATTCTTGCCAAAGCCCCAGTAACTTCCTTTTGGTCACAACCAATAGACTTTTAAAAATTTTTTTCATCAGAGGATCCAAGGATCCTCTGATAATATGGATCATTTCTTCTTTCTTGAAACCCTTCCATTCCTGGGTAACACCATAAAGGACATCAACTGAAGGTAAATGTAAAACATGCTTCCTTATTTAGGTTGCAGTGCAGAGAAA